TTAAAAGTCATTGTCGCCTTTTGAAACTGTGTATGAACATCCAACTTACTTTACGAAAGCATCTCAAAATGACCACGCAGAAGCAGCACCAGCACAATGATTATGGAGGACGACCAAGACTCATGGTACCTTTTGAAACTGTGTATGAACATCCAACTTTACTTTATGAAAGCATCTTAAAATTGCCGCACACAAATTGGTATGCAATGACGCAGAAGAAGCACCAGCACAATGATAATGGAGGACGACCAAGACTGATGGTACCTTAGAGGTGTCTTGAGGGCTAATTACCACACACATTACTGTACAATGACCTAGAAGAAGCATGGTGCGCGCCTTGATGGAGAAATTCTACAATAGGAGCCCACTGCCTTTGTTAACGGTGTCTAAGCGTGGACGACAAGCAAGATTTCTGGAACCCTTGGATAGAAAAATTCTACAAGAGGAGCCCACTGCAATTGGTAAAGGTATCAGTGCCATCCATAAAAAAATAAGTGTCAGTGCTAATTAACGTATAAAATTAAAAAAGTAGTGTAGGATATATAGGTTAACTATTGTACCATAATTTGGTAAAAAATAAAGAAGGGGCAAATTTAAAAGCTAATGAAAGTATAAAATAAAAAATATGTTACATATTTGGTAAAAAAAGTAAATTTAAAGTTAATTATCAATTATATCATAATTTATCACATAAACTCATATTCTTTTCTTTTACTAGTTTAAAAAATATATAATTTTGTTGTTTTAACATCTTTCATAACATTAGATCTTTAATTTATTTTAAGACATTTGTTTTACAATTATTAATTATTTTTTACTTTAATCTTTAAATTATTGATTATTTGACCTTTAAGTTTCTTAATTATAATTGTTAATTGATTATATTGTTTGATTTCTAATTTATTAGAAAGAGAAACTTTAATTTTTTAATTAGTTATTGCCAAGAGTAAAGAAGAATCATTGTGTTAATCATTTTTTTGTCTTGTTTTATACGGATTTCGTGGTTATTTGTTAACTTTGTTGTTAAGAAATTTTGTAGCCTTCAATTTAAGTTTTATGTTTATCACTCTTATATTAGCCCCTACAATGCAAATCTAGATTATCGTATACTTGATGTTGATGTTGATGTTTTTGTTTTATTTTCTTTCGGTTTACAATTTAATTTTTTTTGCATAATCTACTCAATTTCTAAATGGGCTTTAGCCTTAATGATTTGTTTTTAATCAACTTATGAAGTACTTCTTTTTCTGTTTATGATTTTTTTAAAAATATTTTGAATTTTAGGATTTTGGTATTTTTAATCCGTGTTCATGTTTTATCATTGTTAAATTTTTATTTTTATTATTTTTAGAAGATTTTTTATTTATAATTTATAAATTATCTTAATAATAAGAAGTTATAAATGTTAAATAGCTCATTTAGCTTGATTTTTTTTTTTTTGTAATTTATAATTGTGCTACTTTTAATGTTAAATTCTAATCAGGTCACTATCCTCAAAAACATAAATTAAAAATATTTTTATTTTTTATAAAAATTTA